CCTGTACAATGTTACGGACCTCCGTCCATAGTTCTTCAGGCACTCTGTCTACCAAATCTATAGGATAGCATTATCACTATTTTACATAGTATGGCATTCCTCAGTCTAGCACTTCCAGATGTTTTATTACTTGCTTGTTTGCTTGTCTACTGGCCTTTTAGACCACCCCAATGGCAATCAACTCTGAGCAGGAATTATAGAAATTGCATTGATGGTGGGTTCTGAAAGCAGGAGATTGGGAAATAGGAGATGCAAGAGGTTATCTGTGACGAAGAGAAGGAATGGGGGTAAAACCAATTTTCCCCTGGGTGTAATTCTTCATCTGCTGTGTAAATAAGGAACTAGCCTTAGTTCTCTTCCCACAACATCCAAAACTACTATTCAGGTTTCCCCCTCTGCCCCACTCTTCAAGGATCAATAATCATTTATCATAGAGTGTTTGGAAATCTAGGGAGCAGCCCTCTGGGTTCCAGCTAGCGCTTGCCATTTCATAATGCTGTCCATGTGACTCTCCTTGTGTATGAACCACACCTTATTACCTGAAGAAGGGAACTCTGTATGACAACCTTTTTCAACCTGGTGCTCTCTAGTTCCTTTGAGCTTGCAACCTTTAGAATTCCTGGTCAGCAGGAATTCTGTAAGTTGCCATTCAAACACATCTGGAGAGTGCCAGGTTGTGGGCAAGCTAGTGTAGACCTTAACGTGGAGATTTGTTTTTGATTTTTGATTTTGTCTTGTTTGAGGATTATAAGACAGACTTCCTAGATTGTACATCATGATCAATCAGGGATGAAATTTGTCAACAATGTTGCATTACTAGGTAAGAATTCCAGGCAATTTTAACATCTTTGTGTATAAACTTTCACAAAGTCTGTTAAAAAGCATGCAACTGCAAATGAAAGTAGCTGGAAAGTTAGCACAGCTTTCAAAAACTCTTCAAGGGAGAATACATCAAAGTTTCAGTGTTCAGTAACACTGCTTTTAAAATTGAACAAGTTAAAGGCAAGACTCAGATATATTTCAAAACCTTTGAACATGTTTCATTCATGCCACCGGTGCCTTCAGAGGCAGGTGGTGGAATTGGACGTTAACTGGGCAATTCTTTCCAAGTCTAATCAATGAGAAGCTCTGCTGAAACCAACTGTACTTCCAAGTAAACCTGCTGAAAAAGAATCAGTGAAATGGTTCAGAGAAACATAGTTGTGGGGGCAACGTGATTTCACAAATTGTTTTCTCCTTAAATAACTGAATCACATTTATGATTTTGTAGTTGAGTCAGTTACTCTTCCTTCCCATATCCCTTCACCACCATTGACAAAAAAGCACCACTGAACTGGATGTGGCCTATCATATACTCCTAAAATAAGAAATTGAAAAAAAGAGAAGCTCCTAAATAAGGGGGGGGGAAAAAACACAACCACCCTGAACCCAAAGGAGTTTTATTTCAGCTCTAGATTAGTAAAGGTTTAGAATTATCTCTTCAGTTGACTAGTTTAAATATTGTCAATTGACCTCTATTCCCTGACTTCCATGTCACAAGAGTAGACAATTTTTATGCGTACTCTACATGATACTAACATGGTGAGAGAATGAGGCAGAATATAAACCTAACAAACTTAAATAAATAAAATACATTTATTAAGTCCATCGTGGGGAAAAAAGAGGACTTTGGTAATCTATAAAGTAAATAACAGCCAATGTTTAATATGGTTAGAAAAATCAAACAAAAAATAATAATCAATAATCAATGTTTAATATGGTTAGAATGATCAAAGAAAAGAAGAAAAAGAGAAGGTGGGAAGCAGTAGAAATATGTTACCACATCTACCTTAGAGGGCAAAAATACCATCCTCCCTTGAACATGGTGCCAGCCAATCAAAGATGGCCCCCTTCCCCATTTCACAGGTAAAATTTTGGTGGGAGGAAAAGAAAAGAAAAAAAAGAAAAGAAAAGAAAAACAGCCTTTTTAGATAACTGCAGGAAATTGGCTGTTGGCTAGCTATGAAGTCAGATATTATCACTGAGTTGTGATTTGCTATGTTGTAAAAACATAGTTCCTGTCTGGGGAAAATCCATATTTTCTACCCTGAAGGAAAATTTATTTGTGTATTCATAAGTTCCTCAGTACAGAAATGGCTTCAGTACCTTGTGTGACTATAAATCAGGAAATGGAGCCTTCCCTTCCCATGACGCTGAAACGCAATTGAAGCAAAACAGGTTCTGGCCACCCATCTCCACACTTGCCCCATTTGAATTCCAGGCCTCAATCAGCCCATTGAAGTTGAAGCATGAAGAATCAGAGAAGAAAAACCCTTCTCCCTCCTCTTTCATTCCCCTGTTCTTTTCTTACAAATGCCAGCTATTAATGGGGAGGCTGGCCTGGTTTGAGAGCTGCCTTCCATTGATCAGAAAGGCTTTGATTGTGGAGGGAACCCCTTGGAGTCATAAATTTTTCAGCTGGCACTTGGTGAGGTGAGAGCGGCTTGTACAGGTGTGAGTTAGCAGGTTGTCGCTGACATCTGTTCCAAGCAGAGGCTTAGGTCCACACCCGCCTGCAGTGAGACCTCTGGGTTGTCAGCAGATGTAGTTAAGGAGGAAGAACGGTATTGTTTGGTCTCACATTTGCTGCCCGAGGCGGGGCTGAAACACGAAAGGTAGAGTGGAGATGGACACAGCTGCGCTCCCAAACTTGCCCGAGGCACAAATAGAACAGATCTAATGTAGTTTGACTCTGTAATGGTGGGGAGAGAAGGAAAGAGAGCCACTACAGAGAAATGGAACGTGGTAACATCTGCCACCAAATTTCCAGGGAGTAACAGAGGATGGAAAGTGGAGATCCAAGTCCCCCTGTGCTTAGCTCACATTAAGCCATGAACTCTTTTGAAGGCCTTCCATCAAACATCTGGGAGTCATCCACAGGAGCTGGTCTTTTCAAAGCATGCTTTGGGCTGGGAGTTGATTTTATTTTAGTTCGTTTTGGAACACCAAGAAGGTAATTTATAACTGATACACTACCACACAGACCCTGGCTGTTTGTTTCAAGACAGGAGAAAAGAAGAGGGGAGAAGAAAGTATGTGATACTTTTGGAGTGGCTTTGTTAAAAAAACAAAAAACAAGAGTCAAT